AGTGGTAGGGTATTTATCTAGCACGTGTGAGGCACTGAGTTCCATCCTCAGCACCACATGAAAATAAATAAATAAAAAAGATATTGTATATATCTACAACAACAAAATATTTTTTAAAAAAGGATTCAAGGTCAGCACACAGAATTCAATTGTATTTCTCTACATTAGCATTGTACAATTGAAAATAATAATGAAAAAAATATGCTCTCATTTCAACAAAAATGAAATACTTGTAAGTCTAATAAAACATACTGGATATGTATGCTCACTCCAGAATATACTGATGAGAGAAACCAAAGGAGATCTAAATACATAGCAATACAATATACTTATATTGGAAGACTTAACCTAGTAAACATGTCAGTACTTCCCAAACTCATCTGTAGGTTAATACAATGCAATAAAAATCTAGCAGGATTTTCTTTGGCATATATAGATGAAATTATTCTAAAATTTATACAGAAGTACAGAAGAACTAGAGTAGATAAGCAAGGTAGGGAGATAATGAATTTAGAAGAGTTGCACTTCCTGATTTTAAGACTAGCATGTCACAGTAATCAAAACAAGATAGCACTGAAAAACTGATAGCCACATGGATTCCTAGAACAGAATAGACCCAAAGAACACGCCCACATTAATGTGGCATTTGATGTTCAGGATAATGCAAATTAATTCAGTGGAAAAATGAGGCAATGATATTAGAAAAAATTGCCATCCATATGTTAAAGAGGAACTTTGATGAAACCATAAACCTTATGTAGAAACTCCCACAAAATAGATCATAAATCCCAATGTAAAAGGTACAACTATAAAATTATTAGTAGAAAATGAGGGAAACTTTTGTTAACTGGAGTTAAGCAATAAGTTTGGAGACATGACTGACCCAGAAAGTATTTTCCATAAAAGAAAAAATAGTATCTGCTAACCTTCATCAAGCTTTAAAACTGAAAATTAAAAACCAAAATTTGATCATAAGACACCATTAAAATAAAAAAAGTCAATCTATAAAATGGTAAATATTTACAAGTTATGTGTTCAAGGAAGGCCTGCTGAGAGCCATGGCCGAGTCTCTATGGCCCCTGGCATTTTGCCAGGGGCCATCCTGACTTGTTTACAGACTCTAACAAAGGCCTTGTACCCAAAATATATCAGTAAAAAGAAATCGAGCAGCCCAATTTTAAAAAATTGGGTAAAAGTCTGGTAGTTTGCTAAACTACACATAAAAATAGCAAATAAATACATAAAAAGGTTTCCATTATCACACCCCTTAGAAAAGTGAAAATTAAACATCTGAAATCTACAGCTGTTTTATTTTTAGGAGCTCAAAACTGGAAACCATTCATATGTCCATTAAGGTGTAATAGATAAATTCTGATACACTCAGACCATGGGATACTCTCAGCAGTGAAGAATATTCATCAATGACTGACTCCTGCACCAACTTGGGTGATTCTCAAGGGTCTTATGTTGAGCAAAAAAAACTGTTTTTTTTTTATTATTCTATTTATAAAACATTTTCAAAAAGATTGAATTATAATGATGAGGAAGAGATCAATGATTATTGGATGGGGGATTCTGAGGTGGGTATAACTCTAAGGGGAAGATCCTTCTCCTTATTGTGATGGTTATAAACAAATCTTTATGTGTGCTAAAGTTACAAAACTATACATGAAAGGGAAGAAATGCCTATTTTCCTTTAAGGTGATTTAAAAAATAAAAAAATACATAATATATATATATATTTATTAAATTAAGATGATGAAACTGTTGTCTCCAGCATCCAGTGATCCTAAGCATATCCCTGCTTCCACCTGGACTAGCTCTTGAAAATGTTGCAATGTTCCAATATTGTATCCATTTCTACCAATTCCCCCTGATCCCCCAAAAGAGATGGAGGCTATGTATTTCACTGGGACCATTTACATGGAAAAACAATATTTTCACACAGAGAACGCATTCTTCAGAGATGCTTTTTGTTCATTTCAACCTTTTCTGTTTTCCATCACATTATTTGTTGTTGTTGTGTTTCTTGGAGATTGAAAACCTCCCCATTGTGTGAGAGGTTATTTCTTCTCAGCCTTTCCATAAAATAATCAGGTTTCCCTCATTTCCTCTGAAGGGGAATGCAAGCATCTCTGGAAGTTGGATAGGTAACCTTGAGTCTGTGCAATATTCAGCAAGGAAATTCTTGGGACTTGGGTTCACTTTATTTGGTAGAAGCCAGGAATAAGCATTTTGAAAACACACTCTTGATAAGCCTGTGTCAGGAGGTGCAGGGACAATCTCTGAAATCATGTGGGATTTGAACCGGGGGGATATCTGTGTGCCTGCCTCTGTCTTTGACTCTCACTCTCATTACTTGTCTGAAATCCATAATCCTCTACTTGACTGTTTTACACATCACAGTGTTTCATCATATTCTGTCACATGAGTGAGTCTTGAGCATTGCTACACCTGTCAAAGTTTCCATCTTTTGTTCCTTGTCACCTGAAGTGTACTCTGTTTCTCCCACCCATGTGCTGTTGTCTTTGTGGTCAGAGACTTCATAGCACATGTGTTATAAGCAACCCTAATCCCATTGTTCTTGCTCACCTGTGACTGGCTACCCTCTCATTTTTATATTTCTAATACATGTTACTTTCATTACAACCTTTTAGTTACTTAAATTGTTGTTTTTTCCTCTGCATTCACTTTTTAGTTGATCAGAATAATGTTTCTTTTGGTCAAAAACTATCTGGTTGAAATTAGCTTGGAATTTGTATAAATTCTTTTGCTCAGAGCTTTTATTTGTATTCTTTTGTTTCTCATTCCTAGGATATTTTTCTCAAGACTGTGATGGGTGTCCTGGGACCTTTATGGTGCCTGTCATATGGTGAATGTACCAGATATATCTGTTGGCTTGGCTTTTTCCTTTCTCAGAGTCCTCTCCTGTGTTAGGTAGTGTGCTATATCTCCCACCTCCATTGCATGCTAATTGAAGGAAAATATTTATAAGTAAACATAGAAACCATGCACCTTAGCATATCTGCAAGGTACAATACATGACTTGGATAATGTATTTGTGTTTTGCTAATGTGAAATACAAGTTTCTGTTTAGAATAAATTTTTCAATGTCAGCAAAATGTCATAAAATATTTTGAATATTTAAAGTCAGAATAATCCACTATGAAGTAGTTAATAAAAATAGCTAAAATTGTATTAAACACTTATTTATGATAACCAGTGTTCTTATCTGAATGAATTCATTCAGTTCTTACCACAGTCCCAGAAATACTTAGTATTAAGTTAATCTATGAAGTAGGAACAATAATGAGATATAGAGCTCTTATGTAACTTGACTAAGTTATCTAAAGTAGGCATAATGACAATAGTGATAATGATTAAAAAAAAAAAAAGCTTTCCTTGGCTGAACATGTTAATTCAGCAGATACTATGATTTATGCTTATCGTTTTATCTGTAAACTAGGTAATCTAATTCTCAAGCTATAGGTGATAAAACTTGGCCTTAGTGAGGTTACTTGCTCTCAAACATCTCAGTAGAATGTAACAAAGCAGAGAAGAATTCTAACCTGGAATTGGTCTCTAGAGCCCAATACCTTGATTCCAGCATTGCCCGGTTCTCACTGAAGGAACTGAGTTCATCTTGTACTGATGGTCATTGTAGAGAATAATGTCCTGACTTTCACCAGGCAAATGGCCATAGGAACCCTGATGTGTGGACTCACTGGCCTTTTCTTTTCAATGATTCAGTATCTTCTCCTTAACTCAGTTGGATAGGAGAACAAAAAACATTGAGTTCTTGATTTTAGAAAAATCTGTTTTGTGGAGACTCCTGACTTCTCTTTCTCAGCCAAATGTGGCAAAGTCATTATAGGGCAGGTCCCAGTGGCCTGGCCAGATCTTTTCACATTGAAACGATTTATGATGAGCCATTTGGCACATAAAATAAGGTTATTTTTCCAAATTTGATTTTGATTTGATCTCTGCTAAATTTGACCTGTCATCTCTGAAGCCCTACTTTTGGACAGCAGCATTTACCACCCTTTGTGATGGCATATTTATTTGTGAAGCCTTTTTATTGTTCACATCCAATTGTTGGTGAGAATCACTTTTCTCCCCCATCATGTCCTCAGACTGAGTTTCTGAGGCTTGCTCTTGTGAGGGTTCCAGTGTAGAAGTTTTGCCAGTTATGGATGAAGACAGAACTCCCACTTTTTTACAAATGTTTTTCTCTCTAGTCGCTCATTTTTTGTTGTTGTTGTTGTTATATATTTTAAAGATGCTAAGCAGAATCCAATTTGGTGTGAGCAAATTTTTGTCCTTCAAAACACATACTTGACTCTGGAGAGGAAGATGGCATGTTTAAAGTGACCGCTGGTGACCAGACTGCTAGTCTGCTACCTGTTTTTACCAATGAAGTTTTATTAGAGCACAGCCCTGTTCTTTCATGTAGGTGATGCTTATGTCATCTTGGAGGTCACAAGTGCAGAGGTGAGAAGTTGCAGCACATAGTACCTGTCCACAAAGTGTAAAAATATTTAATAAGTGGCCCACAAGGGAAGCTGTTGGCTGACCCTGATTTAAAGGGAGTCCCCTGCCCCTAATCATGCTGATGAACTGCCCCTTGCACTGTTCTAGTAATTGTCTTTAGCTTTGCTTTTACAGGAAAGGGAATAAACAGTGGTCTTCCTAGGAAGCTTTCTTTTGGATCAACTTGACTGCCTCATTCACTGCTTCCAACTTTTCTATCATGGCTCTGATAAAAATCTTAAAAAGTTCTTTCTTAAAAGTTCTTTCTATTCCCAGTGTACAACTATAACATGCTAATAAAAAGAATATTAGAAGAAAAATGCTTTTCCTGGCATTTGTAGAAGTTATGATTGAATTTTTGAATCTTGATCACTCAGAAGATAGCATGGGATTTCTGAGTCTTTTCCCACTTGATGTGCCCTGAACCCACCGAGAAGGCTCATGTTTTCTCTTTATGTTCTGTTTTATAGGAGTCACCGAAGTTGTTTTCAATAGAGGCACACTCTTTTGAAGAGTGAATTCTTTTGTTCTTCATGCAACCATGGATCTGGATAAACCATCTGTCTGGGACTCATTAAAACAGCGGACCAGGCCATTGCTAATCAATTTGAGCAAGAAGAAGGTAAAGAAGAATCCAAACAAGCCCTTAGACTTAAGGGCAAGCCACCATTTGGACCGCAGGCTCAGCCTCTCTGTTCCTGACCTCCTAGAGGCTGAGGACTTGGTTCCAGAGGGTCGACCCTACTCAGGTCCCCAGTCGTCCTACACCTCGGTTCCCAGCAGCCTATCCACTGCAGGGATCATTCCCAAAAGTAGTAGCAGCTCTTTGAAACAGTCTGAAGAAGAACTGGACTGGAGCCAGGAAGAAGGAAGCCATCTCCATGCCGTGGAAACAGACTCAGAGGAGGTTTACTCCTCTCCCGCTGAGGACCATCGGGCCTCCAGCCAGGGCATCTTTGAGTTCCAGAAACCTCCTCTCAGAGTGGATGCACAAGAAGAGCCTGAGGTGAGACCAGGGCTTGCACTTTCCAGTTTCATTTCCTTCTTTTCCTTTTTAAAATGTATTCTGTGCCCTTGGAAAATTTGGTCAGGGGTCATTTTTTGTGGTTAGCTTGGATAAGGAGAATGTCATTTACAAGAATTCAAATTAATGTAATATCGATTGCACCCAGGGTTCCCATTAGTTTCAAGTTGACCTCTAAGTATTTAAAAACTGTTACAAACAGCCTCTCTAAGACATTTTAAGACATTAAATGCTCTATTGAATGAGTTTTTTTTTTTCCAATCCCTGGCAAACAAATGAGGACTTTAACTTCCATTTAACTTTTTGTTTAAATGTCTCTGTCAGTTAGTCTGTCTGTCTCTTTTTTAATAGACAAATCATGTACATTAGTGTGCCTAAGAAATTTATGACGGTGTGTCTCCCTTTGACTTTGACAGGGTTGGGTCTTCCTTCTATGTGTGAGGTTATGTAAGTATGTGTATATGAGCAGCTTTGCTTGCATTCTCTAAAAATAAATTAAGAAATAAGTGATTCAGCTTTAGTATTTCAACAAGGTTAGTCAGTCAAATGTAATTATGAGACAAAGCTAGTATTTATATGATGGATTTAATTTTAAGTCCTATCACCATCCAGTTACCAAATCATGATTTGAATAATGAATGTAATCAGAAGTTTTTATTTTTTTAAATTCCTGCAGTAATGGCAGTAAAGTATATTTCAGTGTTAAAGTAAGAAAGTTAACTGTTTCTCTATTCCAGGTTACTGTTAGAATTGAACAGAAAACTATTTAACTGGGATTTGGGGTTTATTATTCAAATAAAAGTCTATTGATTATTAAATTTATTTAGGTCTTTCAGGGGGGTGGGTAATGGGATCATGAAGGCTCAGAAGATTGTGTGGCTGTATTCTTTTGGATACTTTACTATGTTAGGGTACCACTACTCAGTAAATTACTTAACTGTATTTTTCTTGAACATTAACATTTATGAAATCTTTTTTGTAAAACTTACTCTTGTATGCAAATTTAAATTATGTGTTTCCACTAAACAAAATGCAGAGTTTGTGAATTACTAAATTATTTCAGTATGGTGAGGTAACATGTTGAACTCTATACTGAAATTAATCTTCATTATCTTTTTACTTATTATCCAATAAGCAAAAATAAGTGGACTTCTTGGCTTTGATATACTTAAGTTTCCAGTTAGAAGGATTTTTAAATTAACTGCAATCAAACTGAGCACTGTGGAACTGTTTTCCCCTTTGTTTGAATGTGTGTAGGTATTTGAATGCTGCCTAGACTAGGTGCTATAAATGGAGAGCTTGGAAGTGGAGGTGGGTGAGAAGGTGACTGTGCTCAAGCTTTGAGCTTTGGGGAGACAGCCTTGCACAACACAGCCTGAGGCAATCAGATATTAGAGCTATTCTTGCAAAGCTTCTAAGTCTGATCCCCTAGCAGCTTAGTGGAGTGGGGGGGGGGGGGAATCAATGTGTGGGGGATGGGCACATATCATGTTGAGGCAGTGTCCGGGTTGGCAGAGGATAGCTCATTAGCCAAGCCAGGAAATGTGACCAACACAGACCTGAAGTGTGGCTGTGTGCTTTTGGCTATTTGTCCTATCTGGTAAAGAGGCTTCTTAGGAAGCTTTCTGGAAGTGAGGGAGGAAGGATGGTTAGTGGGTGTTGGCTGTTTGCTCACAGGCTAAATACAGAAATCCTGAAATAAGAAGAGTCCTTCAAGAATAGTTTATTCTGGATCATTTGATTTTTCTGTTTTAATTTGGCCATTTTTTTAAAAAAGTATCATTCTTAAAAAAGAATCTTTTACTTCCCTTCTACAGTTATAGGAGATAGGAGATAGAGACTAGTATCAATTATTTTACCTAATATTGAGGTTCTCATCACTCAAGTGTCATTTATCTGCTGGTTTCATTTTTTTTTTTTTTCTGCAGAGGATAGAGGGACTGAGCTGCAGCTAATCACCCCTAGGATTACCTGCAGTCAAGTGTATAGCTCTGTCCACCCTCCCCTCCTCCCCTGCTTCTCTCTCTACTACTGTTTATACTGTGTGGGCCTCTCCCACTACCTAAGGATCCAGAGTTTATCAACTGGTAGAGAAGCACTATACCCCTAATTATCTTCTCTACTAGGATGGGTTAATGTAGAGAATGGGCATGACCGGGAGAGAATCCTCTAATTTGCCTTCTGTATCCAAGGCTTAGCTTCATACCTAACAGGCAGTCTGAGCTCAACCAGCACTTGTTTAATGTAAACACTAATCATGGAAATATGTATACTCACATGAATAGAATTTTTGTTAGTGTTTTTGTCATGAATTTTCTCTAGGATTTAATTGAATCAACCTTTTGTTAATATATAAATTTTCATTTAGAAATGAAATCTCCTTTAATATGATGGTAAGTGAACTTACAAAGAAGTTTAGGCAGGTGTAGCTGCCCTAGCCCAAGCCTGATGCTAATCTAAAATCTGATTTTTTTTCCTGCTTTTTAAAATACAGAAGTCCTACTGAATTCATGTCATCTGAGAGTCTTGAAGTCAGTTAGTCTGTATCTTGGATCTGCACATCTGTTTCTCATGAATAGCCTAAGGCTTTCTACAACTTTAATGGAATGGGGGAAGAAAGGAGGAGGAAGGAAGGGGTTGGCATGTGACCAATCTGGTGTACAGCAAGGACAATCAGAGGCTTGCCAGATATCCTTGGTGTAACTTATTTTGTTTGTAGCTTTCCAGAGGGGATGAGGCAAAGGACATCTGTGGTCTGAGGGACCCATTAGAGAGTTGTCTCACTTGTTTTGTGCCAGTGCTGGTTTGGTGCCAGGTTGAACCTACAGCAATGGGATAGGACCTCGATTATCAGTCATGTCTGAATTCCACAGTTACTCTCCAGTCCTGCCATTGTCGGCACAAGAAGTGAAATATTGGTTTATGGTTATGGGGAAATGGAATGAGGAGACCAAGTAGGAAAGTGGAGATGCAGTGAAAGGGAGATGGGATGTTGGGGTGTACAAGAGACGTGCAGCCTCAAGTTGCCAGTACAGGGGTTCAAACCGGTCATTAAATGGAGAAAGCAGACTTAGGAGAAAGGATGTAGTGGCTGAAGAGGACCCTGCCAGACCCCCCTCTTGAACCCCAGATTTTTATTGTTTGTATATCCCCCAGAAACTTTGAGATAATTTTCTGTCAAAAAAATTGACACTTCCCTGAAATGTTCCCCCAGATACAGACAATTGTTTCTCGCAACTTTGTCATCACAATGTTGTGCTCAATCCCAAGTCCTGTGAACGACAGGGGAGTATCTTTTTCTTTCCTCTCTTTTCACACTTTATGAAGCCTTCATTTATCCATCTCCCATCTGCTTCTTCCTCCTTTTCACCCTTCATCTTCCCTTACAGAAATCCCTTTCATCCTCCCAGGCCAAGGTAACCTCTTCCTTTTCTCTGGTGCTTTTCCCAACTCTGCAAACAGTAGCCTCACCTGCTTTCATTTTCACAGCATGCTGCTTTTCCTGTCACTCAACACTAGCCTCAGTCTTTGTGTAGAAAGTGGTAGAGAGAGGAAGGGTTGACCACGTGGAGAGGAAGTGAATTGGTGCTGGGCAAGGATGATGTTGGGTAAGGGCATCACTGACTTTGAGAAGATCACTCTGCTCCAAGACCTGGGTCAACTGTCTAGTGGACAGCTGCTTTGAGGACTGACTCATACTAACCAATTGGTCATGACACCTCTCTACCATTAGCTATCACAAGTAATTTGCAATGAGAATGAAATACTGGGTAGCCACTAAGGTTCCTTTTGATGTAAACAGCTCTTTCTTTATTGTTGTGAAGGCCCTTTGGAAGTCAAATTGTAACCAAAGTCAACTTTATTAATTGGTTGTCTCAGGGCCTGGACATGTTTCCCCAGTGCCAGTCTTTATGAGAAGTCACTTTAGAGTCAGGAGGCTGGTGCAAGTGAATCTCTGCAAGGAGGGTGGGTGAGTTCTGTGAATGGCATTTGGTGAAGTTTGTCTCACAATGAGGATTGAGCTAATGATGAGAACGGGACATCCTCACACCCCACCTCAAAGCCACCTTCCTTCTGCTTTACAGGTGACCCAGCTAGCTAACAGAGTTCATTCAGACTCAAAGTTCTGCTTCCCACTGAGCACATCTAAACTTTTACCCAGGCTTCTCTGCATGGTCACTCTTTTTCTGATTGACACACTGTTTCATTGATTATATATTATCACTTTCTGTCATGCTGATGCCTTATCAGGGTGAACTGGTATTCACATTATCTCCTTTATGTGACTTTGTACATCTGGGCTTCGATGGACAAAGAATGGTTGCTATGGACTGAATTGAGCCATCCCCAATTCACATGTTGCAGTTCTAGCCCCCACCCCCCACCATGCAACTGTAGTGGAGATATGGCCTTTAAGAGGTGATTTAGGTTAAATGAGATCATAAGTTTGGGACGCTGATCTAACAGAAGTGATGTATTTATTGAAGATACCCCTGAGATTTCTTTTCCCACCATGTGAGGACATTACAGGGAAGCTGGTCATCTACACGCCAGGAAGTGGCCTTTAACAGGAACCCAGTGGGACGGGACCTTGATCTTGGACTTCTAGATTCCAGAAGTCTGAGAAAAAAGAATTCTGTTATTGACGTTCCCAGTCTGTGATATTTTGCTATCACAGCCTTTACTGAGATGGTGGTTTTACAGTTTCATTCTCAGAGGATGATCAGTGAGATCATCTGAGACTTGAGGCTGAGGAGGAAGTAAGAACACTTTAGAATACTGTCAAACACCCCTCTCCACTCCCACACATAGTCAAATACACACACACACACATACACACACACACACACACACACACACATACACGTATAAAATCGTTGTTTGGAAGTTTTTTTTTCATTATATGAGAGCTCCCAAGGGTTAGAAATGATGCCTCCTTATTTTTTTTCCATCTCTCAGCCTTTCTGCAAACACTCTCTATG